CCTAAATCAGGTAATCGTACTCCATTATATGAAAATATGACACTTGTATACTTGCCCAGATATGATTCAAAATTGAATGTACTATAATTTGATACCTGTCCAGCCCATTTGACTGATTCGTCTATATGGTAATTTGAGTGTACAGTTTGTACATTTTGTCTCACATTGTACAATTCAGGGAATAATCGATGGTAGTGTTCCATTAATGTACAAATTTGTGAAATATCTGATTGTGTGACAAGCCGGTTCTCTGCTTTGTGTAACGCTAACACAAGTAAGAGATGATGCTTATAATGTGCATCCGATAAATATCCGTTGAACCCAACAAAACCAAATAAGAGAATAAGACGTGATTCATTGCCTTTGAACTTTGAATATTGGTCGATCGATCGTGGAGTTCGTGCTGTTGATGATGGATAACGAAAACTTTGTAAACGTTGTTTAATATTGTTCAATTCATGATAACATGACCACGGTTCACTATTATACGTTGAACTTAGCCACAAATTCAACAAACGTTTCTTCAAATGAAAAGAAAATTGATGACATGCAGGCACACTTAGAGTGATGGATTTTCTTACCATCAAGCCATGATAAGCGTTGTGTAAAGTGTCATATAAAAATGAACTACCCATATCAAAATAGGTTAACTGTCGAAGATGGCACGTACCAAGAAAGCCTTTCGTCTGATCGATCTTTTCTTCTTTGGTCAATCGTTTTTGAGGCTTTCTTATGTTTGATAGTGATGGTGGCTTCGAATTTTTATTGCTTTTTTCCACTTTTTCTCGAAGTCGTTCAGCATAAATAGCCATGATATCATCATACAGTTGATTATTTCTCGGCATTGGACGTACATCATCTTTCATAATAGCAAACGTTCTTATTCTATGAGTTTCATTGGCCCCCGTGAGTTCCGTTTTACCTAAAAGAAAGAACAGAATGTTGTTTGTCCAATAGTTGTATAGTTCTATTGCCGTGCATAGCATAGCACAAGAGGACAGCCTGTACCTTTTAGTATACATTTAAAGCAACCGTATTTTCCTTTTGGATCCGATACATTTTGTATTATTGCTGTTGCTGGTTTGTCTGCACAGCATCCGATTAAAAAAATGTTCAATTGTTCGACTTGACCATTCAAATTTTTCATTTTATAAAAGTGTGGCTGTTCAAGATCCTGTAATTCCTGAACTAATTTTTTTACAATTAAACCCACCTGTTCATTATCGGGTTTCCCCACACCTGGCCAGATATCCGACAGTACAACGTTTTTTAATTTAAATCGTTCGGAACGTTTTATTTCATTGATCACCAATGAGATCACCCAGATGGAATTGTCCGCCTTACTATTGTCTATTTGAACGCCGTCAATACTTAACAGAAGAGTTATGCAACGGTTGCCGTTCTGGCATTTCAATATTTCTTGATAAATATAGCCATCGTAGATGTCACGAATTTTATCGTTAGATGTTGTTGCTAGTGTTGGAAATTGAAGGTTTTTCTCATAGGATAAAATGTGTTCTATTTG